ATATACATTTGGATATCTTTCTTTAATATATTGTTAAATAAAAAATAATTGTATGTTTTCCAATAGTAATTTATTTTAAACTGTGTTATAATATACAGACTGTGAAACACATTAGTCATAGACACTATTATCATTTATTAACGGGATAACGCGCATGTAAATAATAAGGGTATTTTAAAGTGAAGTAAGAGTCACATCAATATTATTTTATCATTATTGCATATTTCGCTATTTGTAAAGATCATAATCTTTTTGGTAATAAAATCGAATATTAAAATATGTTAAACAAAAATACAAGGAAATTTTCACAGTAAGTTATAAAAATTCTTTAGATAAAACTGTATTAAGTTTTATGTATAAAATTGGACTCCATCTTCCTTCGAAAATAGGGGATTTTGTATTATTTAAAGCGGCACTATTTACTGTTAAAATGTATTTTTAAATGTTTTGTTTAAAAAATATATCAGTTATATATTGTAGAATGATAGAAGTAGAGATGTAGAAATTATATATTGTAACAGTTTGATGGTATCTGTCAGTATCCAACAATAATTGTAGTATTTTACATCTAAAAATACAAATTTCATAATATAAATGAATGTATAAAAGTGCTTTTCAAACATTAAGGTTGGTTCCATCTTGTAAGTAGTACATGTTCTAGAACACCTTTCAATTTTGCATTGTTTTCTTAAATTATCCTTTGATAATACTGTTCGTTCCTTTTGTTGCAATCAATACCCTTATTTTTAAAAATAATCTTTTTCCTTTAAGCTCGCACATGTTTTTCAAAGTTAACTTTATGTTCAAGTAACATATTATTTTCAGGAGGTAATGCAAGGCATGCTCTTAAGATGTTTTCAATTGCAGCTCGTTGTCTAAATAATGCGTTTACAACTGGCGTTCCTCGTGGTACTAATGGCGCTTTGCAAAGGTACGATAATACAGACAGTACGCTGTGAAATCCAGTAAACTCATCCTCTGTGTCCAATAACTTAAAGGTAATACGTGAACAAATCTCTGCCAAAAGAACTAGATCCAAAATAAGTGGACTAGCTAACAAAGAATCTTCACATGTGTTGTGTATAACAATCGTGTTGTGTCCTCCAAGTAATATTTCTGATGTGTACTCATCCATCGCCCGTTTGCTATCGCCTAATAAAATACGAAATAATTACTTTATGTTCTCAAAATAACAGAGGACATGTATAATCTGATATATGTGTATTTGCTTTTTTATACATACCAACATATGGGACATATTTGATAACAACACAATGATCCGGCTTTTCTCCAGGTTGATAAAGAATTTTGTTTGATTGTACCATGTCATCTACCACACTGCTTTTCGAAATCTAAAAATAAAGTTATATTGAAAAATTAATATTATCTTTTGACCGAAATTGTTGAGGAGCTGACAAATTATATCCATCATTATTTCCAAGATGATTGTAACTAACAATCGACACTGGTTTAATACCAGCTGAAACTAGAAAATCTACAAGTACAGACTTTAATTTTGTTTGTCCTGATTTAAAATCATCACCACCAATAAATGTTTTCTGTTTTTCTGCTAATTCAATTGCTCCTGGTACAAAAGTATTTTGAGGAGAGCCATTTATATATGTACACTAAAACATAGTGCATATTAGTAATATATACCAGTAGCAACAATAACAATAGTTCAATATCAATATCTTCATTACAAAAATACATAAAACACAATACTATATGTATTTTTTACTTACTCCTTCCAAAGCTGCTGCAACAGCAAACACTGTACTAGGACTAATTTCTGTATGATCTTCTTTAATAGCTTTCAGTAAATTTTCTGCTGTATCATTTACACCTGGAATTATCTCTGAAAATCGTTCAGTACTGGCAGTCCATAATACAATCACTTCATCCAAGTTCTTTGTAGTTTTAAATTCTGCAATGTCTTTCCTGATATGTTCCAATTGTTCAAATTTGGCGCCAAAAATAATATTATTTGCTCTTTTTTCCTGAAAATATAAAAATATAATAATATAAATAATATGATAATGAAATTAAATAAATTATGATAATATTTACCTGATTAGAAGCAATAAAATCAGGATAATATATACTTTTTCTCGGTTTCATATTCATCATGTGTGATATTAATTGTTTTTGCAAATTAATGTCTAAAACTTTTGCATGTTGCATAGCATCAGCTAAATTCATATTTAAGATATCCCATCCATCAATTTCAATATCATCTGGATTTACCATTGGAAGCATCCAAGACATGGGAACATACACATCTCCCTTGTTCCCTTTGCCTAATCTAACAGTAGATGCTTGAATTAATGAACCATACCTAAAATTTAAAGAAAAGCTTGATATATTTGTTTTATCTTATTTAAAAATAGCAATTTAAAAGTCATTAAATTGTAACAATTATTAGACTATATATTAATTATAATTACCAATTTGCTTTCTGAAGGCCATTCTTTGTTTCCCAAGTCAGTTTAAGTTTGTTTGCTAATAAAGCTGCAGTGATAGTAGAACCATTATTTCCACCCCATCCAACCAACATTAATCCAAGTTTTGGAACTTTCAATTGTGTTCTAATTAATAACTTTGTTGAGACAGGTGTCACCTATTATAATAAATACATATTTACATTCTGTAACATATTATTTTCAAGTGTTTAAAGTAAATAATATTACACATAGTAATTGTTAATATTTGTATCCAAGGTTTTTTCTGCTAGTACACAGTGGTGTACAATACAGGAATCTTTTTTCAAAAATTGAAAAATTCATTTCCAAAATTAAAATCATAGCATTTGAGCAGCTGTTCATTTTTTATTATACTTGTT